TAGGGTTATTAAAATGTGTTTATTATATTTTTTTTCTCTGGTTATCATCATAAATTTAGTTGAATAAAATTCTAAGTGAAATTAACAGACTAAATGGAGGAAAAAAATAGTTTTATTTTTATCTTCGTGGAGGATTAGATGAAAATGTAGTTAGATGTACATGTATATAGATATGTGCCTAACAATACAAGACGCTATACTTCAAAGTAAAAGTGTTTGTATCAAATTAAACATGACTTAAGTGATTTAAGAAATGTATAGTTTGATTACAATTTAATTTGTGTTCCATAAATTAGGTGTTTTGTGTAACATATTTATGTTATTTCAATAGACTACTTTCCAACATAAATATATATTTCTAAATAATCTTATTTTTGTGAACTTTTTGTATTAAATTACCAAGCTATAGGTTATTACATTAGCACTGCATATTTGTTAGCACTGGCATATTCCTGTTCAGCAAGTAAGCAGGGAAGAAACTTAAAAAGGGGGCAAAATTCAGAGTGTACCAAAATCAAAGGAAATTTTTATTCCTTTTTATATCATTGATTATCATTTGCTCACTTTTGTTGACATAAAAACATGGTCATAATTATTAATACTGCAATATAATAAAATAAGATATAAAACAAGCCACTACTAAACTAAACGAACTAAATGTAAACAATTACTTAATATCTTTGTAGTCAGAACAATGAAGAAAATCAATCTATTTTAGAATTAGACAGTTAGGAATAACATATACAGACAAACCTACTTAAGTAAAATTACTATAAATTGTAGCATTTTACTTATGTACGTTATTTACCTTAATTAATCATAATTGTAAGGGAAAACTAGCATTATTTTTTTTTATTTTGTCAATGCTAGTAAAATACCCAAACTCACTCCTGAGCGACAAAAATAGTTGTAACTTATACTAGGTAAGAAAAACAAAAATAAAGGTTTTTCAGGGTTATCTGTGCTAACTGTAAAGTGATAGACTAGAAGGAAGGCAAACAGCCAACAACACCACTCACTACCAACTCTTGGGCTACTCTTTACCAATGAATAGTAGTATTGACCATTACATTTAGCAATCCACAGCATGCCCAGGGTCAACATGTTTAGTGATTGGATTCAATCCCACAATCTTCTAATTGTGAGTAAAGTTCTTTAGTCACCAGGTTATACCAAGCCAAAAAATAAGTAAAGAGGGGTATAATAGTTTAAAAATCATTCATTTGTTATATTGACTGTTACAAGAACTGAAAAAAAAGAAGACTCATGAATGGTTAAGAAGAATGCAAAACAAACTTATGCACAAAACGAAATGTTGGAGATAATGAAACAAATACAAAAAAAACAAGCAATTAAAATATATAAGTAAGAGTATGTTCCTAGTTTTTGAAGAGGCATATAGTTTCACACTTTTCAGGTTTTATTTTTCCTACTTACCAATTCTCAATCAGTGCTCTTTTAAAATTATCTCCGTAAACACCAGAGAACTAGAAAAAAAAATCTATTATTATAATATACATAGATAAAGTTGATGTCAAAATTAAGGTTTTAACAGAAAAGATACTTCAATAACAGTCATTTTAAAAAATACAGTCACACAAGTTTTGCTACCTTTTAATTTCCTGCAAATTTTTAATACTGAAATTGATCTATTTTTCTTTCTGTACACATATTTTGATCAAAAGTAAAACATGACAACTCAAATAATCATAAACATTAGAAAAGTGTAGCATTTAACTAGGTGATAAACATCATACATAATTACACAACGAAACAGTTATCAATGCAAAAGACTACAGGATAACTAGGAACACTGATACAACTAAATAATTAGTTACAATACTGTTGTGAATTATGTTTTTACATTTTAAAATTATATATTTTGTATCAGTTGCTAGAGGGAGTTTTTGAATAAGGTAGTGGTGATGTGTGATATCTAGATATTTCCTGACACACCTCAAATTTCCTTGATACTTGGGGAAAAGAAATATTATATAAAACACCAGACAGTTGTCATTGATTAGTTAATCAGTGCATTGATTAATTAGGCAGATGGATGTTTAATAAACAAATTCAGTGCTGTACATTTTTTAAATTTATGCCATAAATATAAGAGGAAATTTAAAAAGTGTCTGCTTAATTTTTTTTGTGAATTAGGCTAATCACTAGGTAAGCTTGAGGAATTCATTGTAGAAAAAATGAAATGAATTTTTTTTTAAGTGGACTAGAATTTTCATTATTTTTACTGTATAATGAAAAAGAACCTTCCCAGTGATAGAATTTGTTACAACACTGGTGGCATGAGTAGGATTAACCTGGTAAATATGGCATTGAATCTAGACTAAAGTTCAAGACGAATACATGTGCTTGAAGTGAGGTAGAAAATTTGCTGGAGATGATGAAACAATGGAAGAAGAACAAGTAGGAAATGAGGATTTAAATACAGCCAAGAAGAAAATTTTAAAGTAAGAGAAGGAAGAAATGCAAAGAAAATTAAAAGACTAAGAAAAAACAAAGTTTAAAGGACAAAAAAATTAAAGTTAGAAAATTAAAATTATCATGAAGAAATGAAATAGACATAAAAAATAAGAGACAAGAGGGGAGTTCAAAGAAAGAAATTTAAGACTTAGGGAAGAATCAAGAACAAAGTGAATTTGAAGAAAAAATCAAAATTGTTATAGAAGTTGTATAGAAGGATTACATCCACAGAATGAGAATATATAAAAAAAGACATTTGTGAAGCACAAAAAGACTGTGATAAAACTGAAGAAGTACTAAAGATCATCAACAATATACAAAAGACAAATAAAATACATTAGTAAAAGTACAAAAATTACAGAAGAAAAATCAATGATATTTAAAATATGTCAGTGACAAAATACAACATCTGAAAAATTCATTATCAAAGGATCAGACCAGTTATATTTCTTTCTGAATTCCACCTTTAAACAGCTTTAAGTATGAAATATGGAATAGGAGAACCCATTTAGTCTACATCCGTTACCACTAATGGTGTGCAGTCTATGACTGCAGGACCTTCTTGGACTACTCCAGCTAGATTATTACTTCATCAAGATTACAGAATTTAGCATGCCAGTACAACAACACTGACCAATCAACGAAACAACAGTCTATGACAGAAAGGTACTATGTGAGGTGTATCAGGCTCAGTTCAAAAGTGAATGGATAGAATAGTGAGTAACAAATTATTCATCTTGCTGCTCATTTAAAAGACCAGTTTTAACACCATTAAGCAACCTCAGCTCGGAGAGACACACCAAAAGAAAGTTTCCATAGCACAATTCAGGAGAAAAGTACTGAGGAAAG